CCCACTTCATACTCCGCCTCAGCCGGAAAGGCGGTGATGGAGTAGCAGTACTCCAATTCCCGAACCCAGCCTCCAATAATGATCTCGCATAGCTGCTTTGGCCATTGCTGGGCTCGTTGGCATCGGAGTTTCGTATCCAACTGCTGGTGCTCGTGGTTTCCGGGGCATCGGCAGTGCACCAGGTCGTTCTTGATGTGGCAGGAGGCGGTGAGGAAGCCAGTGGGCTTGAGGTGTGGGTAGCCGTTGTCTCGGTCACATAGTCCGACACTGCATTGGTCCATTTTGACACACTCAATTGGCTCCAAAGTTGCCGCATCGGTGAGCTCCTTGTTGAAGAAGTTCTGTGAGTGCTTTGTGTCCCACATCACTGAGTTCCAGGGGTTCTCCACCAAGACGTGCCGTCCCTTGTGGAGTCTGCTTTCCACGATGTCGTACATCCACTTGATCACCGGCTGCCACTTCTTCCTCCTTGTCATCACCTTGCTGCGAGCCTCTCCCGTGAGGATGTTGGTCCAGGTTGTCCAGGGCGTGCAGACCGGTGCAAACGAGATGGCAAAGGGATCATCCTTCTCGATGATGCGGTCCACGGCTTGTCGTCCTTCAACAGTAAGGAGGTCGAAGCCTGTGTTGAGGTCGATCGGATTGGAGACTGGAAGTCCCCACTCCTGAAAAGCCACTTGTGTGAGGATGGCGGCGCCTGCAAACACCTCAAGCAGAAAGGTTCGGCACCCTCGGGGAAGCTCCGCCGTGCGCCGATGCCGGTAAGGGCGCACTTGGCTCCAGAGGTGTCGATCTCGTGCTCGTACCGCCGCGGTTCCGTCCTTCACTCGGGTGGTCTGCTCCTTGCTCATCACGTGGGGCCTTTCGCTTTTTCATGGCGAAGTAGCCAATGTCTCCATCCGGGTTCTCGTCGGCGCGTCCTACTAGCTCCCATTCCGTGGAGGTCTCCGTAGCGGCCGTCGTTGGGGGCTCAGTGAGAGTGTCATCCACTCGTGGTGGTTGTGGTTCATGTTCA